ACTGTTTAATACAATTATAATACGAGAAATTGTCTTTTTTTCGTTCGATCCGCTTATTATTTGTCGCTTTATTTTGATTTGAATTTGATTTCTATGCAAGTAGAATGATTTAATTGTGACATCGGTAAAATATACGATTACTTCAACAATTTAGGCACAGAACTATGTTTTAAAATTATGTATTAAGCATGCCATGAGGAAACAAAAGTGGTAACAACTTGAAAGAAGACTTTCCTTAAAGTCCTTAAAATTGGATGTGACTTTGTTTTCCATGGATGTGAATGAATATTTTCTGTATACTAAAAGGAAGGGCAATTCTTGTACTATTCTTATACTGTTCCTATAGCTATTCCAGTTGATTATGGAATAACTCCAAAAATATAGGGTCGCCTTGCCTTATCAAATGCAAACAAAATACAAAGATATTCTGATTGCCAAACCACAACCAGCTAGCGTAACCCTCAAACCACGCACAACCGCACCAAGGACTCGGGCCAGGGCCAAACACACACACAGAAACACACACAGACACACACACACAGAGGGACGGCAATCCTATTTAATATGTCAACCCTGGACTAGGTCGAAGCTCAAACGATTTTGCAAGTGCCAAGCAAATATCAAAGCCAAACAAATGTGAAGTACCAATACGAACAACAACAACAACAACAATGTGTTGCACTAAAAGCGAAACTACTTAGCATTTGCCAGTAGCAGGAACAACAACAACAGCAGCAGTAAGAGCAACAACGGAAACGGAAAAGCATGAAGAATGAGGTCAAGAGACAAAATAAGCTTCCGCTACTTGTGTGTGCCTGTTGTGAGTTGGTTGCTGTACGTGTGTTTGTGCGTATGTGTGTGTGTATGTGTGTGTGTGTGTTAGGTAGGCCTAAAAGCATAGCTCCACACCCACACAGCTTGTCATTCTATAATGCGGCTACTTGCGGAATTTAACGGTCAAATCGTTCGACTTTTTCCGCATCTTCTGCATTCCTTTGCAGCGCAATGGTGGCTTGTTCCTGGGCGCTTCTTTTTTTTTTGGGTGGGACTTCCGCTTCATTAACTCGTTTGATGCACGACCCCGTGGGGTCGCCCTCTGCCATCTGCCAATCTTCCTAGAGGCTGGGCTTTGGGGCGCACTTCATTTATAAACCAATAGCTTTCCGAAATTCTTCGCCTTAATGTTGCGGGGCTCCCACAGTTGGCCAATTTTTTTATGATTTTTTTCTTCTTTTTTTCTGATGGGGCTGGGGTTTTTGGTGCTTCACATGTTTGTGCATTTGAATTTGATTTACCGTTATCATTTGTGGATTTATTGTGGCCGAGCCGGTCAGTCGAGCGTTTGCCCAAATCGCATATTAATTATGTTGGCCGCTGTTGCTGTCGTTTTGGCCCGAGCTCAATTAATTTTCTCCAGCTAAACAAATTATGTATGGCAAACAGCAAGAGTACACTGAGAAAAAAAAACTGCAGTGTGTAGAGAGAGACTTAATCGAAAAAAGAGATCAAAAAATGCATAAATATTTCAAGCTATTTCGCAAAATAAACCAACTTTGGCAGCATCTAATGGATCTATTGTTTTAGTATGCACTGCGTACGCGCTCAACTTAAAAATTTAATTTAAATTTAAAAATAGAAATTGAAAATTTGTAAATCAAATAATGAATTGATTAACCAATAACAATTTCAAAGAGATTATTAATACGTAGTAGGAAAAGGCTTCGTTATCAATTAAAGGATAGTCAATTATTGGCATTTATTTCTTCTATACCTAATGGGGAAAAGTGGAAAAATCTGGTCACACCTTCCGTTTTTCTCAGGAATTTCAATAAACTAATGTAATGAGTTAGTAATTAATTTGCTTCTTCTAAGCTTCTTCTATGTGAACAATTCGTAGACAAGCACCTACTATTTTCGTTGAGTGTAGAAATAACAACAGCAGCAACACCAACTAACATTTTGATGCCATGTTTAACGCACAGTTTACTGTGAAATTGTCAAGAAAATGCGTGTTTAAGCCAGATTAAATGCAGCTTGTTGTAGATTTATGAGGGGCCGATGCAACAAAAACAACACCAACACAAACACCAAGAGTAACAACAACAACATGCGGCAGTCAGGCTAATAGCATGCAACGGCCGCCCGCAGCCTTAATGGCCTACATTGATTTGAAATTCGTTGCGGCTCGCGCCGCATTGTTACTCCAATTATTTATGGGTCACATTTTTCGTCAACGCTATCAAATTTCAGAAGTGCCCGCAACACGATTATGTTGCCATTGTCTACGAACAGCAACATGTTGCCGCATTTCTGTGTGCTTGTGTGTGTGCGTGTGTGTGTGTGGATGCTGTGTGGTGAGTTTCCTCTTTGCTCCTACACTCTCATATCCCTGTCACCACACACCGCTCTCCCCACTCAACATTTCCCCCCTTTCACGGCTTCAGCCCAGTTGCCGCTGGCGATCGTGTGCTGCATGTTGCCAATGCCTCCACGTCCATGCGGCCTACACAACCTGCGTGTGGGCGTGGCCCAGTTGGGCGGCCTGTTTAATATCGAAAAACTAATTAAAGGTAAAGCGGGAGCGCCGTCGGCGTTGCCAGCATCCTATGAAGCTTCAATCCTTCGTCGTTGCGCAGCCAGCGCCATGCCCTCGCAAATAGGAGAATCCAACTTTTCAAACTGCATATGAGACATTCAAATGCCAATACGAACTCTCTTTTTTAACTAAACTAATGCGATTAAGTGTGAATCATTTAAGAATTTGCAGAAAACCTTTTAATCGGTCATGTTGAGCAAGAAACTAACTAAATGCGATTAAGGGATGAATCATCTAAGAATCTGCAGAAAACATTTTGAGCAAGAAACTAATGGAAACGCCATATTTTGGATAAACATTTATACAAGTTTCTCTATACCTGTACACCCTAAGTAGTTGAATGGTTTTTTAGGATCGTCATAAAAAATGTGGTTCTATTTTAAATTAGGTTTATGTGTTCTTTAAAACAAGGTAAGCACTGTTGCAGGAAATTTCATAGCAACAAAAGAATGTTTACCATTTCTTCTTCTTCGTAGTTTCCATATCGCAACATATTGCGAAACATTTGTCATTAAAATAGTTGGGCTTTCGTTTTCTGCATGGCTGTTATGGATCAAAGATTCGTTTTAATCGAACGACGGAATCCAAAACACTATTTCTTAAAAACACACTTTTTTTAATTCCTATTGCCATATTGGTAGCAGAATACTGCTTAAATAAATTGTATATACATTTATAAAATAAAATAATAGAGTTGTTCACAAGAAATCGATAAGACTGCGTGCGGACAGGCAAATAATTTGCACAACAAATTCTTTCAATCTCAAGCAGCACATCACCTTATAGTATTTGTTCCGAAAAACAATTTAAAAACACATTTTAGATGAATGTCATGGCCAATAGGTGTGTGAATTTGTTTGTGTGCAAACTTTTTGCCTGGCTGTGTGCACAGTTTTAAGTTTTTGTACTTCCTTCGAACATAGCCAGATATTAAAGAATTTTTCAACGTTTCAACACAAGAGCAACAAGCCATGGCAGCAGGCCATAAAAACTTCGGCATGCTCGGACACCGGCAATTCCCTCGCATTTTTCGTTTTTGCTGATATGCTGTTGTTGTTGTTGTTGTTGTTGGTTAAACGATACGCGTAATTTCCACTAAAAACTCATGTCAAGTGCAGCAATCGGTGGCGGTCCTGCTTGCATTTGGGCGCCACACATACGTGCCATATGCGGCTGGTTCGTTGGTTCGTTGGTTTGTTGGTTGGCAACAATTGCAACAACAGCAACAAAAGGAACAACGGGAACAGCATCCGTTGTGCAACATAAACGACAATTATCAGCAACATGAGCAAACCAATTGTGCGGCAGTTGCCCTTTAGAACTCATCCACACCCACACCCACACCCACACCGACTGACTGTCTGTCGGTCCGCCCGTCTGTCCATTTGTCAGGACTGTCTGCCAGGAAGTGTCCGACTGTTGACTGACCGCGCGATAGGCTCGCCACAGCTTTGTGTGGGTGTGGTGCCAACGGCCAAAAAACTGATTACAGCGTTCAATAGTCGGAATGCATCCGGTTGGGTTCGATTCGATTCGATTCGCTTGTTGTCCTCTCGTGCTGCAGGTCTCTGGCCCGAGTGATAAGGACACGCTGCTCAGAATATTCACTTGGACGTGTTACTAACTTTATTCAATACTTTTTAAAGCGGCCTTAAAGCTAGTCAAAAAAAAAAGAAAAAAAAAACAATGTAGACATACATACATATACTTGTAGTATAGAGTGGGAGAGGACAGTGGGTGTTAACAAAAAACAAATAGCTACTAAGGTCTAAGGGCAATTTTATATATATACATATATTTAAATACATATATATATATAGTACATACACATTATACATAAGCACAGACGAGAACATACATAAGAGTAAGGCATTTACAGTCAGTGGATTGTTGGGATTTAGCTTCAGCTTTTTTCTTTCTCACTCAAGACTGCATACAATTCCGGGATTATTATTAGATTACTATTTTCAAATTTTATTTTCAAAAGTTTTTTGTAAAATGAAATTCTAGAAATGTATTATTATTGTTAAATAACAGTCTGCATTTTGTTACGCAAAATTCCTTAAAATTCTGTTTTTTTTTCCAAATATCAATCAGCTTTTTCTTAATCAAATTCGATATTTTGTGAAAATTTGATGATCATTTTTCAATACCAATCTACATTTTGTTAAGTTCTTAGAAGTTATCTTTTATTTTTTTTTTTTTAATATCAATCAGTTTTTTCTCACTCAAAACATTTATTAGATTCCTATTTTCCATTTTGACATTTTTCAATAACATTCTGCCTTTTTATTTTTCAATAACAATCTGCCTTTTGTCACGCAAAATTTATAGAAGTTCTATTAATTTTTAAAATATCAATCAGCTTTTTCTCACTCATTACATTTATAAAATTCCCTTTTTTTTAATCTCGAACATTTTTTGAACATTGAAATTTCTAGTAATTGATTTTTATTTTTCAATAAACATCAGCATTTTGTCATTCAAAATTAGTAAAAGTTCTGTTAATTTTTCAACGACTCAGTGCAATATTTCGAAATTATTTAGCCTAATAGCCATCAGCTTTTTGTTACTAAATAATGTTCCATAAATAATTCAAACTACTCGCAATTACAAAAACGATTCAAAAAAAAACACATATTTTTTATAAAGCAATTAACTCTTGATCGCCAAATAGTGTGTCCCAATAAACCCTTGCCTTTGCTACTATAATTCCTAGACAGACATCTTCGAAACTATTTACAGCAGCCGGCTTCTGGTCAGTTAAGAGAGTGCACAGTTTTTCAGAATATTGTTGCTTAATCGACTGACTGCCAATACCCTTCAGATATCGATATACATATGCCCAGGCCTACGGTTTGATAACCTCCCTCCTTTCGCTCGTTTCATCCTCCAAAAAGGCGCGATTCTCAATACCATTGGGTTTGGGGGCTTCGCTACTGGACGCTGGAGTTGGCGTTGGCGCCGTCGCCTGCTCCAAGGACTCGTGTATCACATTCGTTATGATGCCGTTCAGCTGACCCTTGGCCTCGCTGGCCAGTGCTAGCGTCTCAATGGCGTTTATATTACCATTCGGGTCCTTGACAGGCGGCTGCTCTGAATCGACGCCCGTCAGACGTGGACGCTGCCGCACTTGGAATCGATACATCCAGCTGCAACGATAACAGATCTTTTATCATCGATTTGTCACAGAACGGTCGATTGTCTGTCCACTTACAGGAATATGACCACTGAGATCAAGGTCAAGCCACCGCCGAGTAGGTAGAAGGCGCCCGGCAGGACCCGCAATGTCGACGCATACAGCGTCGTATACATGGGAGCAAAGACCATGGGCATTAGTGCCTCGGCCACGCCCAAAAGGGAGTTGACCTTGCCCAGCTCGTCCTTGGAGACCAGCTTCGTGGCTATCGAGCGCATCGCAATAAAGGCCGTGCCATTAAAGATCTCCACCAGACCACCCAGATACATGTGCCAGGGCAGGGTGGCGAAGGCGTAAACAAACGATGATAGGATCTTGGAGGTGCTGGAAAGCACACCCACCAGTGCATCATCGATGCCGAGCTTGTGCGACAGAATGCCAACACAGAAGATGACGCCAATGAGGCCCGTGAACATCGCATAGGTTGAGAAGAAACTGAACTCGACCTCGGACCAGTTAAAGCGGAAGCGCGTAAACAAATACGTGACTGCCATCTCGCCGTGCAGAGGTCCGATGATGACCATCAAGGCAATCATGAGCAGGATAACGCGCTTGCGTCGCTGGTTCTCGCCACGTTTGAAGGCCATGCGGAATGTTTGCGCCACATGTGCCTTATCGAAGAAGTCGGCCAATAGGCCGCGCTGTTCCGCCGTCTTCTCAGGCCTGGCAGCCGGCTCGGGTACAAAGAACAATCCATATACAAAGGATATTACATAGAATGTGGCCGAGACAGAGAAGACACCGTAAAATCCAATTTTCCTAAAAATAAAAAAGAAAACGTGTAAAGGGTTGAAGACTGGAGATGGTTGACACAGATCATCTTTAAAAAGATACAGAATTGATACGGAAAGATTGTTGAAGATGTACAACAGGGTCTATACTTTGGAAGATCTTATCGTTTATGGATGTATTCTCGTATATCAACTAGGAAAGAAATCCGAAGATATATTTATGGAAACAAAGACTGAAGATTCTTGACACAGTTAGATCATCTTTAAAGAAAAATAGTTGAAGATTTTAGAAGACGCAGGATTTTGTAAGGAAATCTCAGTAGAGCAAGATCTATACTTTGGAAGATCGTATCGTTTTTGGATATATACTCATTTACTCGTATATCAACTAGGAAAGAAATCCGAAGATATATTTAAAGAAACAAAGACTGAAGATTCTTGACACAGTTAGATCATCTTTAAAGAAAAATAGTTGAAGATTTTAGATGATGGAGGATTATGTAAGAAAACTTTCATATAACAAGATCTATACTTTGGAAGATATCATAGTTTTTGGATATATACTCGGTTACTCGTATATCAACTAGGAAAGAAATTCAAAGGTATACTTGAAGAAACAAAGATATCTAAATCGGGACATCTCACCAATTTCTAGCTAGAGCATTTTCTTTGCGATGATAACTCACTTTAGTAGCACTCCGCTAAAGGCCATGCCCACTGGCACGCCCACCGAGAAACATACGTTGAGTATGCCAATCCGTAGCGTACGCTCCTCATCCGTTGTTATGTCCGCAATGTAGCTGAAGACACCCATTAGCATGGTGAACCAACCGCCACTGAGCGATGGAAAGATCGCCTCCGTTAGGGCCGCCACCTCCATGGGCGTACGCTCAAAATAGACGCAGAGCATAAGACCAACCACGCCCAGAAACTCGCCCACAATCGGAATGAGAATGCAGGGCTTGCGTCGACGATGTCGATCGCTCCACGAGCCCCAAAACAAGATCAGCAGGCAGGGAAATGCGGACTGAATGACTGTCTTCCAGGCAGCCATACGTGCCACCATTTGCTGCACAGTCTCCTCCTCACTACAACAAAGATAGAGAGATCGATATAGAGAGGGATAAAGCGTACGCTCCTGTTTCACTCACAGCGTATAGTTTGCGGTCTCTCGTCGCGTCAACGCATCACAAACCTCATCTCCGTAATTCATGTTGACCCGGCATGCCTTCTCCAGGTTAAGGTTCTGTGTGGCCAGATTGGACAGCACGCTGGGCATTACGTAGGCAAAGAGTATGGGCTCCACAGTGATGTTGTTGGACACAATGCGGAATTTCTCCCGCCAAGTGCGCGCCGGAGTTGCAGTCGGCGTCGACGTTCCGTCCGTCTTTTGGGACATTGGTAACGCCGGTGGCTGCTTGGGTATATATCTGTGCTTGACTTCCCCATCAGGGCTGCTATCCGTGGCTGTCATTGCTTTCTGCAAAGATGACAAAGAAAAAAACTTACTTAAAAAAAAATTCTGTTTCTTCAGAAGTTGATGATCAATCTTTCAAATACGATTAACTGGAGGATAATCTCAAAGATTAGATGCTCATGCTGTCTTTCTTCAGAAGTCGAAATCAGTTTTTCAAATACGATTATTTTCAATGTAACTTGTTTAACTGTCTTTCTTCAGAAGTTAATGTCTTTCAAATACGATTAACCGTAGAATAATCTCAAAGATTCGAAGGCTTTAACTTGTATAGAAAAGAAATTGCTTGATGTTGTTATCATCAATATAAATTATTTGTAGAACTGTCTTTCTTCAGACGTTGATGGTCAGTCTTTCAAATACGATTAACTGGAGGATAATCTCAAAGATTAGATGCTTCTGTTGTCTTTCTTCAGAAGTCGAAATCAGTTTTTCAAATACGATTAACCATATAACAATCTCAAAGATTGTTTGATGTTTTCATCATCAGCGTAACTTGTTTGTAGAACTGTCTTTCTTCAGAAGTTGATGGTCAGTCTTTCAAATACGATTAACTGGAGGATAATCTCAAAGATTAGATGCTTCTGCTGTCTTTCTTCAGAAGTCGAAATCAGCTTTTCAAATATAGCAATCTCAAAGATTGTTTGATGTTTTTATCATCATTATTAACGATTAACTGAAGTATAATGCCAAAGATCAGATGCTTTTGTTATCATTAATGCAACTGTAGAACTTGTAGAACTGACTTTCTTCAGAAGTTGATGATCAGTCTTTGAAACTCTTCTGGATATCAACCCATACTTTAATTATTATTTTTTCACATACATTTTTTGCCTTAAAATTTAGATGAATACACAGCAACAAAGAAATATTTCTAGCATTTCCCCTTTCAAATTTTTAAGGACCTTCAATACCAGCATTGCTGTTAAAAACTTATAATCCTTAAAGCCTTATCTAATATTGACTTCTTTTGGTTTTTTTCGGAGTCGTAAGCATCTTGTTTACAAAACATTAAGACGACACTGTATTTACAAAAAGTTGAGTGTATTTGGAACCGAAGTGTTGTCATATTGTCGGGTCATTAGTATTTGCACACTCTATTTACAATTTTTATACATTTTCTGAGAAGATAATGTTTAATATGGTTTACTCTTTAAGTTGGGCTTAATAAAAATAATTATACGCATAGAAAAAAAAGAATCTAAATTATTTACTTGGCAATGTTTTTAAAGGTTTTAGGTGGTTTTTGAGCTTGTAGGCCGTGAAATTTTGTTGAGTGTAGGTGATGAGCTCGCTCAAGCATCGCTCTAGTTTAGTCGCTCTTTTCCTTCTCCCCCCTTCCCCACACACACACACACACATACACTCACACACACACGTACGCCCTGCTGCCGCCCCCATTACGCTTTTCATTGTCACATTCTTTTCTGACGTGCTCCACATTACGCGCTTTTCGCTGCGCTTTCATTCCGTTATTTTTTTGCCCCTCTTCTTCCCCTTTTGTTTGCACTTTCGTTGAAATTTCGCTTTTGTTTTGGACTGCGTTTCATGGCCACACAATACAAAGCAGACAGACAGACGGACGGACGGGCGGACAGACAGACACACGCATACAAATGCGAAATGTAATCATGCGCGACGCGCTCAAAGCTGCGCCGCAGCGTCACCGGCAGCAGCAGTGGCGGCGGCGTCGACGTAAACGTCAACGTTGACTGCTGCTGCGCGCTTTACTTTTTTTGTTGTTGTTGGTTTTACACGCACGCACCCACATAGCCGTACACTCAGAGAGAGAACACGCACTTCTCGCAACCATCCATCTACAATTTTCATTTCAATTCGTTTGTCAAACATTAAGCTCTACTCTGATTTTTATTGTTTCCAGCGCCCTTTTTTTTTTATTAGTTTTTAATTATCGCTGTTCATTGCTGTTGCTCATCACTCTGCTATCGTAATGACAAGTGTAATTATTGTGTTAATTTATTGGCAAATTTGTCTCGAAGCGTCTCAGCCTTTCGACAGCCCCTCTTATCGACTTAGCAGCGTTTAAAAAAACAAAAACAACCATTTAATTTGTCTTGCCGTTGCGCATACGCCGTGTGGCTCCAAGTTCAACTGCAGGCGGCAGAAGGCGTTGTTTGTCAATCTTCAATGTAATGGGAATGAGGGCCGGGTGCTGGGGGCGTGCAAATGAAATCAATTACAATTTCTAATACGTTACCTTCGTCGGTTTGTGACGCTTAAGCGGCAGCTTCTGCCCGCCCTACAGCCTAGGTACACAGATTTAAATGAAATTTGTAGTTTGGAGGGTTTTACTACAACTAGGTAATAGTTTGACAACACAACTGAGTTTCAAGCAAAGTCTAAATATCAATGAGGCCGTTTATACTTGAAAGACTAATAATACTCGTGGTTGTAGGCAGAGCAACCTATAGCTATTGATGCTGGACTTTCTTTCAAAACTAGCATTCGCTTGCGCTAAAAAGTATGACAAATATTTAAATGTCTTTGATTTTCTATATCTTCTTGGAACGAATCATGCCCAAACAAATAAACAAATAAATAAATAAATATTACAATAACTATAGGAGTGGCTATGAACTGGAATGTGACTTCAGCTTTTCTAAAATTGTTTGGCTTGTGCGCTGTACACACACAATTAATTACTTATTAATACTAGTATGTGCACAGCTGTTTTAATTGTTGCTGCACAATAAGCTTTACACTAAGACATTGTGTCGTTACGCAAGATATTTGTGTCTATTCCACAAAGACAAAGTAATATTAAGTACAACTTTTTGCCAGTCCTCATGCACTCATGTCTATATGTCTAGTAATCGACTATTCCACAGAGATCTTAAGCAAAACTAATCACCTATTTGGACTAAACTATATTAAAACTAAACTGATTGTTATATACATATAACTTAATGACTCAGAGTATACAAAAAACAAAGAACAGAAACGTGTGTTTTTAAATTTTCATTATAAAACACAATTTTCTTTAGATGTAAAATTTAAAAAGTCAATGAACTCGTCCGAAAACCTAAAAATTGTGTTTAATTATGAAAACAACTTCCTGGTGCAATGCCATAAAAAATGTTGCTAGCGCTTAAAAATATAAAATTATTAATTCTTAATTGAAGCTATAATTGTAGAGTCTGCGGTGAACGAAAAAAGCCGTAAATGTATAATCTAATCATGTGGAATCATCAGAAACTGTGTACTTTTTTGTTGGTTTACAACACTAATAATTTTTTTAAATATCATCATCAGCCACGTGAAATTTATTTTAGCATCAATCGCTTCTGTCCCAGACGGAGCTAATTTTTTGTTGGCATGTCTATCTTAAAAAGCCACATGGCTGAGAATAGTCGCATTTTCGTTGCTAGCCATACCTTTCATTTAATTTCTTGTTTATTGCTGTTATTGCTTTTTGTTAATTGTGGAATGCAAATGCACCTCGATGTGTTTAATCGAAAAACGTGCCAAAAAGCTGTAAAATGGCGGATTATAAATTCAAAGAATTGTGTTGGGGCGAGCCAAGAAATTATGTTCGTTTTGTGAGCAATCTTCTCTATTATTGAGCTGAGCTAAGAGGAATGATTTCAAATAGCCAGAGAACGGCGCAAAAAGTCCGATCTCTGCAGAGAAGCAACCGTGCTTTTATCAATATTTCGTACTGGAAATGGAAGTGTTTTTGGATTCGTTTGCTGTACAGTCTTTTTTATACTAAATTGTAAAATAACATTCATTTTGTTTAGAAATATATTCGTATTGTAAGAGCCAAGCTGAAAATAAAAAACGGAACATAAACAACTAATCTTCAGAGTTTAAACAATAAACTATGATTAATGTAGGTTGTTTGTTTCTACGTCTTAAGCCAGACTGAGATTGAGAGTTATGCTGAGAACTTGTTCAAATAACAGATTTCTTTGAGTGTAAACATTAAATTCAACACATACATAGCTGTTTTTAAAAGGAAATCTAACTTATTTCTCATTTAAAATGTACTTGGACGAACCGATTAATTACTATTAATCAAATGCTACATCGATGCTTACATATACATTTATTCTTCCAATAAATATTATTTTCAACTTATAAGTTGCACTCGAATTTATTTCAAACAAACAACTTTAGTCTTTCTTATAATTTCAGCTGTGATTGAAGGAATTTCCATTTGAATCTCAAATTCAAGTAACATGAAGAAATATAAAATTAATTAATAAAATTATTCAAAAATAAAATAATATCTTCGTCTCAAACGCTTTTGGTTTTAATGGAATAATACCAGCTCGAAAATTTGAATTAATTTTAAATCTGTTTCTTCTACAGTTGATATACAATTCTGCAGACTTTTTTCTTGAAAAATGCTGCAGAAACGTGCCGATTCAGTTATTCGCCAAAATGTCGCCAGATTGTGTTAATTTTTTGCGGCATACCTATGCCTATTTTTAAATAAATAATAGGTGGGCTGTTCATCAGTTTCTATTTCTATTTCACCCGCCATTTTAGATGTCGACTTCTGAGCTTTTGGAAATTATATTCCAATATAATTGCATATATATATTATTATATATTATTATGCTATATGTCCCAAAATAAATACAAATTATTTAACTAATAATAAATTCTGAGGATACAGAACCAATTTTTTTTAATAATTTCTTTCTTTGTTTATTTCTGAATAAACAAAGCATTACCATTGTTTATTGTCTTAATTGTGCGCAATTCAAGATAAATGTTTTTTAAATATTGTTTAAAGATTGCCTGAACTGGAAGATTTATAATCTATTTGTTAGGCAAAGGCCTTCAACAAATATTTAATCTCTGAAATGAAATCAAGTTACTTTTTTTTAAAGATCTGACGTTTGGAAAGTCCTCTTTGAATAACTCTCGGTCCGCACTTCCCTTAAGGTCTAGAGGTTTTTGACCCACTAACTAATTAGGTTACAGTCTTTTTTCGCATTTGGCAATATTTACAATTGTCGTCTACAACTTAAGTT